AGTCCGCTGAGGAGGAGTCATAGTAACTTTGATGGGGCAGGTGGGAGTGGGGAGTGATGTCTGGAACCTGACGGGTGCACGATATTCTTTGGTTTTCAAGAAGAGCGAGTTGGTTTTGCATCGTTGGCGCATAGGGATGATGGCGTTTGTAATAGCATTGCGATACTTCACTCGAAGCAGAGAATGAGGTGGCGTATATCGTGGTGTTCGGATATAGGCATCGTCGCACACTTACACCTCGAACATGCTCATGATACATCATTACATGTCTCTCGCGGCTTGACAACATTTTCCATCCCATCTCACATGAAACTCCTTCCTAATCTAGTAACTTGTCAAGAACCGTGGATCACGGTTTCACTCTCCTGTACTCCAACCACTCCGTACGCCTTCTCCTATTTACTTTCCAACGCAGATGCGCATGTCTATACTTCTGGTATGTGTACATCTGATACTCTATATTTATTGACTATTCACGAGAGTTAGAGCTTAAAGTCCCGCGGGAATGGGATTGTTATAGCGCTGAGCGGTTGAGATGGTAGATAGAAGGGAGTTCGCGGTCGTGGTGGAGGTTTGAGATGCTGCCTAATCGGGTAAGTTGGAGAAAGGTGTGGATGACGGTGAGCTCCCACGGGCGCACTGGGCGGGCTGGGAGCGAGATGGGAGCGACCTGGGCGTGCTGGGGCGAGCCGGGCGGGTGGTGCGAACGGTGCAAACGGTGCAAACGGTGCGTATCTGGCGAACCGCGCGAATTGTGCGAATTTCGCGGACGCCGCGTCTTGAGCGAACCGCGCGAACATCGCAGATTTGGCGACCATGGCGGCCAGCGCTGCCATGGCAAACCTCGCGTTGGCGACGGCAAGGTCGAGCAGGGCGTCGAGGGCGCGCAGCAGCACGAAGACACTTTGCCATAATCCACACTTGATCCAAACCTTCCTAATCGGGTAATTTGGATGAGGTTCGCAGGGGATGGGAGGTTTGTTGCGCTGGAGGGTTAGGGTGATGTCCTTGAATTTGATGTTCTGTGTCTTTGAACGGATAGGCAACGTAATCGTAGAGGTAGTGGGAAGCTGGAATAGGTAGGTGTCGATTGTAGGTGTATATTGTCTACCAAGATGTCGCCGCGCCTACGACCTCCAGATACATTACCATCTACAGTCCCGATCAGGCAGGTTCTCTAGAGCGTGGATCACAGCAACTTTCACAACCCTCCTACCACCAGCACCGTTGTCATCTGAACATGGTTTTGTGCGGCACTAGAAGTTGGTGTTGCGCGCTGTCTGACGTACAAGCCGCATTAGGCAGGTTTTCAAAAGCCGTCGATTGCGGCGTCTGCAGAGTTACCACAGGCCCTCGTCGTCTGAACTTGCCAAGACATCAACAGGTCTTCCGCGCTAGAGATTGCAGTGCAATTTCGACATGTGTTGGCTCTAACCTACCAGGTAAAGTCTGCAAAGAGCCGCTTCCGCGCATACGTCTGCCCTGTCTGCTGTCGCACAACAAGGCTAAGATCCGCCCTCGTCGTTCCACCTGCTCTTCCGCGCTAGAGATTGCAGTGCACCTGCACACTGCCCCGCTCAGTACCCATGTTCCTCATACGGCACTGTTCGCTTACCTCGTCCATCACGCTAGACATTGCAGTGCAATTCCCAAAGTAGATGACCGGGCACGTCTTCGTCCCATCCCCCGCTGGGCAGTCTTTCTCCCACTTCTTCCTTCGTTGCGTGAGGCTGGTTTCCAGTCCTGCTTCTAGCAGAACTTCTGCGCTAGAAATCGCAGTGCTGTACCAGATATGGTTTCACCAGGAACAAGGTCTGTACCTAAGTATACTTAAGCCGTTCGCTTACTTCCCTCTCTACGCTAGGAATTGCAGTACTCACCAGTTGCCATGCACTGTTGCCTATCGAGCTGCTCTTCAGCGCTAAGAATTGCAGTGCATGAAAGCTGTCGTCCAATTGCTCATGTATGAGCCCAGCACTCGGGTACCATCCAACTAAACGAGCTAGCTCAGGACCTTCTCATCTTCTATCATGCATACTGCCCCGTTTTTGACTGCTCTTCCGCGCTAGAGATTGCAGTGCAAAATGATGTTTCAGACCCCACGGAAACACAGCTGGCACATGTATAGCCTTCCAGTCTCGTCTCTCTGGCATCCGGGCTACACTGAATATCGCAGCACAATTACTACGTGCCACAAAGAGAAGAGAAACCTGAAAGCGTTCTCCGAAATTTAGCGTCGAACACTCCACTACACAACTGCTGCAGAGACTATTATGAAATGCATAGCCATGTACAAACAACCTCGCAGCGATTTCCGGCAGCTATATCGGTGACACTCGTCCGGATGTTTCTGAAGCTCTGGTCGCATTCAAAATTCAATTCTCAAGGTCCATGGCGATTTCCTGGCACTGAGTATGCAATGTGGAATCTCACATGTGGGTTTCACATGTATTTCCAGACTTGGTCTTTCAGCCTCGTCCGTTCAGCTTTTCCTCCACGTTAAAGACTGCAGTGCAGCCCATATCTCACATCCCTTCCGCAGATTACAGTGATGAAGCGCTCACTATCGGCTACAGCCATATACACAGCCTGGTGTGTATACCCTCAGACTGGTTGCCTGCGCTAGAGATTGCAGTGCTGCTCCATGCGTCTCGGAACACTCAAGCCTACTAGCTCGCTAAGGATGCTTCATCTTCTCTCATACACGATTCCCTGTTCTCGGCTGCGCTTCCGCGCTAGAAATTGCAGTGCAACACCGGGCTGAGTGGGGTACCCATAAGACATGCGTGATTGGTCACCTCCTTCATTACTCCTCATCCATTCAGCCTGGTATAAAATCCCCATGACTACTCGTCCGCACTACCTAGGTAAGAATTGCAGTGCAGTGCTAGGCTTATGCCTAGCAGAGAAAGCGCGGTATCCAACCACATACAACATCAGCCTCGCGTGAACTGCTCTTCGGCGCTAGGAATTGCAGTGCAGTGCGCGAGGCTGGGGTTTAGATCGCGACAGCATTCCGGTGAGAAGGCTTCAGCGAGACCTCGAGAGCGTTCCAAGGTTGTTATTGGTCACATGCCCACATGTCCGCATGCGCATAGCCAATGATAAGCATACATCTTAACAGCTCGTTCACGCTAGAGATAGCAGTGCACTCGTTTTTTGTCCACCCTCTGCACAGCCCCAATTCTGGACTGCTCGTCCGCGCTAGAGATTGCAGTGCAAATTCGAGTAAAGGGGCCAGAAGTATGGGGGCCGGAAGTGTCATAGGATTTCTTATTCATCGTTGCCTTCATCTGATAGTCTGACTCCCCTTCATCTTTCGTCCACACAACATATCAAAATGGAACAGTATAGATGGCTGAACAAAGCGCTTCCGACCTCCACACGTCTCTAGAAGACGCTTACGTGAAGTCTCTGTTGACCACCCGCCGCATACGAATAGGTCCGTTTCAACATGACGACGTCTACGCGAATTATGACAGGCTCTCGAGATGTCTTGAGGCATGATATGGACTTCAAATCAGAGCGGTCAACAAACTCACCTGATCGGTATCATTTCCAGAACATTGCCGCCAATTCGCCAGGGAACGGGTACAACTTAGAGTGACAAGGCCGCGGATTTGCACGACTGAAACATGCAGTACGAGCGTAGCATTCTCAGCCCTGTGGCCTCGTCTAGTCAACTCCTTATCCGCGCTAAGGATTGCAGTGCAATTTCACCGACCTTTGAGACATAGCGGCCGGTCTACCAGTCTACCGGTCATGAAGCGTTAGCTATTGGTCACCCAATATGCACAGCCTGGTGTGAATGTCTTCGGGCAGCTCGCTCACGCTAAAGATTGCAGTGCAATTGCCTTACCGATGGAGGTAGATATTTTATCATGGTCTTCCACTCCCACGCATTGTGTCTTAATGCAGCCACATCTGATGAAGTCATACTAATTTGCGCCAAACTTCAAAGTGTTTTTGAACGTCTTAGCTTTTTCTTTATCTGTTTCAGAAAAGCCGTGTACTGTACTGTCCAGCACACCAGTATACGCTGCAGGAACAGCCGACGCACAAGTTTTTCATGCAGTCCGTTTCTACCGTTGCGAATGTCTCTTCTTCGTGAAACAGTCCACCAAAAAACCTTCCCATCACAACACTTTCCATCACGCTACAACGTGACGTCCAGACCTTCTGAAAAGACGTCGTCCGCACTGGAGATCGCAGTGCACAATTGCAAGGATGGCAAGTCCAACGTCTTTCCAGCCTCTCCGATTCTTCCGCATAAAGGCATCCGCGATTAGTCACATTCCTGCTGTCCTTCCTCCAGAAAACCTGATGTAGAGTCTCTGAGACTGCTCTGCCCGCGCTAGGAATTGCAGTGCAAACTGAAGGACTGTCTGCTAATGTTGCTGACACTAAAAAGTGGGTATCGAATTACATACAGGATCAGCCTTGTGTGAACGGCTCTTCAGTGCTAAGAATTGCAGTGCAAAAGCCACGGAATCCCAGTGCACATCAATGCATATAGCCAATGATAGGCATACATGGTGACAGCTCGTCCACGCTAGTGATTGCAGTGCAATGTAGGTACGTGTCTTCCACACAGAAAACCCAAGGTTTGGGTGGCCTGTCATTCGTCCACATTGCTCCCGGTGTACCCGTCGGTCACCATCTGTCCGCTCTGATGCACATAGCCCCAATTCTGACATCTCTTCTGCGCTAGAGATTGCAGTGCAGACTGTGGCTTGGATGGAATTTGTCGTATTCTGTACATCCATGTCCATCCATACACCCTAGTCATTAACCCTCTCGTCCGCGCTAGAGATTGCAGTGCAAAATATGGGGGCCACGTTTGCCAAGTTTGCGACCTGTGCGAACCATCACTAGCGCAATCGCCTTCAATCAGGCATTCGTCCAGTCTGCAAAACTTGTAGTAAAGAATAATCCGCATGGATATTTCAACATTCAATCATTACCACCGTCTACACCCTCCCACCCCTCTTCCGTTATGATCACCTCTCCACCTCACTCTCCCGTCTTCCCTCCTCAGCCCTCATATCCTCCCGACTCCCCTGTCCCCTAATCCCCCTCCAAAGCCCACTCAGCGTACTAAGCGCACTCAAACTCCTTCCTCTACCCACTCTCCTCCCACCACCCGGCGTCCTCGCCCCAGCATTACCACCTGCACCATCCTCACCATTAGCACTATCCCTCGTCCGTCTTCTACTCAACGGCTCACCAACAACCAATCCCGCACCCATCATACCATCCTCTCCATCTCTAACATCTCTATCCCTCGCAGCCAACGCAAGCAAACTCTCCCTCCTCCTAACACCACTCCCCCTCTTCAAATCCTGAACCATAGTACTCAGACTCGTACTCAGTGGACTCGCTAGCAGCGGACCCCCCGCAATACTATTCCTCGCACTTTGAACCCTATCACTCGTTCTCAATCTCCTGAGCCCCATACCCGATCCCGGCGTCGTGGGGACTTCATTCGACGATTTCCCGCGCGTAGGCGTGCTGGGCGGTGGGAGATGCGTGTCGGAGACTGAGACTAAGGGCGCGGGTGCGGCTTCAGAGGGGAGGACGGGGGTGGATGTGTGCCGGTTTAGGGGTGGGGTGCGGTGGGTGGGTTCGTTGGGGTGGGACCAGGGGTTTGCGACGAGGGAGGAGATTATGTCGGCGGTGGCGGGGCGGGTGGGGTTTGGTGGGGTGGAGGGATCGGTGGTGGGGGTGAATGTGATGTTTGGGGTTGAGGGGCGGGTGTCTTCTTCGGTGTCGTCTTGGTAGCGGCGTTGGACGGATGCGGGTGGGGAGAGGGCTCGTGTTGTTGAGGAACGGCGTGTACTTCCAGTGACTTCTTCGCTGGGCTCGTTGATAACGTCTGTGTAGGTTTCGCCGGCTAGATGGATGGCGTCTTCGGGTTCTGGGTCGTGGTCGGAGTCGGAATCGTCATGGTTTGATGGGCGGCCGCTGGTGATGAGCCAGACGCCGAAGAAGGTTAGGGCGCATCCGCCGACGAATTTTCCAGCGTCTTCTCCTGAGGTGCGCTCGAAGTCGCGGTAGAGGACTGCTGAGCCGCCGATGACGGAAAGAGTGAAGAGGACGAATTGGACGGGGATGACCTGCGTCGCGTCGAAGCGCTGGAGAGCTCGGTTGACGTATTTGATCTGCATTACTGCTGTGCCGACGAGGATGGCAACCAGTAGATAAAAGACTGGGAAGGTGATGGCGCGCCAAAGCGTGTATGAAAGCAGCGAAGCAACACCTTTCGTAGACAACGCTGTGTATCCGCCTAGAAACCGTTAGCTTTCAATCCCAAGAACGTCCCCATGTCTGTTCCGTATACATACCAAATAACCCCACAAGTCCCAAATCAATCAAAATATTCTTCTCCCCATACCGATTACTCGCAACCATCAGCATCGCAATAACCCCCACCGTAATCCCCAAATACGTCTCAAACTCCCATCTTCTGATCAAATCCCAGATCTCTCCCGGACCCAACTTGGGATTATTGTCATTCGCCGAAAGTACAACGGTGACCGCGCCCCCAACAGCAATAACAACACCCAACGCATCTCTCTTGCGGAAAGGCTCCTTGAGCATAAACGGCGCGATGATGCAATTCGAGATGAGCGCAACAACGCCGAGCGGGGAAACGATAGACGCAGGCGCGAACCCGTAGGCGAGGAAGTTCCCCGCTTCGCCGATTGTCATGAGGATGATGCCGAACCACCAATACGGCGATTTGAGATACGACGTCTGCTTGAACACCTCCTGCTTGCCCGACTCAGCGCTATCTTCTCTTCCCACAGCCGGTCTCGTATCCCGTGGTATCAACGGATCGCTCTCCGAGGCCTCAAAGATATCGTCTTCCTCGCCATTACTCCTCCTCCTATGTTCAACCATGCCCTCGCTCCTCCTGCTCCTCAACCCCATCTTCTGCACCTCCTCTGCCAATCTCCCCGCATCGTGCATCCCCGCCTTCCGCCTCTTCCTCTGCCGTTCTTTCTCGTGGAATTCGCGATCTAACCGTATGTGCGCGTATCGCTGCATGTTAAGCGCAAACGAGATGAGCACGTTGCCTATTATGGCGGTGATGATGCCGATTAGACTGCTCCAGTTCTCTGTGTATCCGCCGCCTCCTCCTCCGCCTCCGTGGGCGTCTTTCGATATCCATGATAGCGCGGCGTAGGGTGTGGGTGTGGGTGTTGGTATTAAGTTCTGTAGTGCTGTCGCTGGGCCTGCAGCGACGGGGTGGCTGGGTGGTATATGCATCGTTATCGCTGTGGGATAGGAATTCTCGAGGGAGCTCGTCGTCTAAGCAATAGATTCGTCCGCGCGTCGTCACGTATCGCCGCTCGTCCTCGTGGAAGCTCGTTCGTTGGGGGTGCTTCTTCTCCGTTCCCTCGGTTCTATTCGTTGCGTATCGTAGATTGCGACAAAGAAGCTATGTACAACGAAGGCGGTCCAACGAAGGTAGTACAACGAAGGCACAAGAAATGGAGACAACAATAATTATATGCGACCAAGGATACAGGGCGGTGACAACATGTTGTTTTTGCCCAGAAGTTTCGGCGGTGCTACAGAGTCGCGGCCCGTGGCTGCAAAGTTGGGCGGGCTTGCTTGCTTGGGTGGTCGGTCGGCTTGGAGCTGGTGCCGTATGCCGCGCGACATTTTGCAGGGTTCACTGATGCTGGCCCACGCTAGCCGTTACCGTGCATGGTGGATCCGTCGACTCCGGACGGCGCGCAACAGTATCATGGGGATGAACGTCGTCTGGAGTAGTCAAGAAACGAAGGTGTCCATGTTTGAACGATCCTATCAGCTGCAATTCTCTTACCCCTTACACCACGAGGCTAACATGCGACAACACTTCTTCTCGCAGTTCTGCAGCGCGATAAGCAAAAAGCGCCTCTGCTCCCTACACTGGTCAAACTGTAATCACCAACACTCGTCATAGAACGATCTCGAAACCGCAACGCAAAAGTTCCACGGATTTTCCATGAAGATATTCATTTTGAGATATAATGTACAATATCACACGAACTAGATGTCCATCTGGAATAAAGAATCCTCATGCAGAGATCATCTCGCCAGCCGACGTGCAAATTGATACCCATTAGCACTTGGCCTGATACGCCACCGATGAATGCAAACGCTATCCCTATGCTTTTGTAGAATCCGATACCGTGGCCTTCAGTCTGGAATGCTTCAGGCAAGAGACATCTGCGCCTCTCCGTTGGTTGCCTCTGCAACACCATCGGCATCCTGCTCCATGCTCTCAGCGACCTCGTCAGGCTCAGCAGCAAGAAGTCTGATGCGAGCTTCGACCGCCTCTTCGCCGACAACAGACTCTTCGACCTGCGCTTTGCGGATGAAGACAGTCTGCCAGCGCTTGCCCCAAGCCTTGATGAGCTCGACTTCTTCTTCGGTGAGCGAGCCATTGGAGGACTTCTCAATCAGAGTGTCAGCGGAACCCTCTGCGACACCACGCATCGAGTCTTCAATGTACTTGAACAGCTCGCGAGCGTTGTCACGGTCCTTGGCAAGGGTGGCCTCAACCATCTCAATCTGCTCTTGGGGAAGACCCTTCTGGAGACGGGCTGACGCGATCTGACGGTTACGGTTGGTGACCTTGGCGACTGTGTTGCTAACCATCTCAAAGACCCAGCTCTCGGTTAGAGCCTCGCCAGCTCCCATGTGGCTACCGAATACCCACTGAACGACAGTCATCGGCGCAAGAATAGTATAGTTGAGCAGAATATCGATGATGCGGACCGCAACACCAGGCTGGTCTTTCCAGTACTCGACGACGCTTGCAACGATCTGGCGACGTGCGACCTCGTTCTGCGAGAGCTCCAGTAGCCTGTCCTTGCCGCGTTCAATGCAAGACAGAACGTGGGACAATGATTTCGCTCCCAGTCGGCAGATGGCGGTGACGAAGGCGTCAGTCGAAGGCACGAGGACTTCGGTAATGCCTTGTTCAAGAGCCTTCTCGTGAATGCTGTCGATAGTGACTTGGATCTCTTCGGCGGTAGCCTTCTTCCTGAGTTGACTCAGGAGCATCTGACCTTCAGCAGCGTAGGGGGTTTCTGTGGTGTTGTTAGCGGGATGCATGTTACATGCAGAGTATACATACGTTGGTTGTCGTATTTGAAGTCAGGGCTGTTGTCTGCGTCTAGACGCTCAGGAATCATGGTGTGCATCGGCTCTGGCAGCGTTGATCGAATGCGCTTGGCAAAGGACAACCTTATCTCCTTGTCCAAAGTCGCAAGAATGAAAGCCTTCTTCGGGTGCAGGTTGGACAGCTCGAGATCCTCAAGCCTAAAGTTGGGTTAGCGTAGTTCCAAAGAAAAGAGAGATCAACATACCACTCAGTCCATCTCCATCGGAACTCGAAGTTGCTGAGATGATGGGAGAACCAATCGAGGAATCGGTAGCCTAGCTCAAGATCCATCATGGGCAGGTTCTTGTAAATGGTACGGATGGCACGTCCAAGAGACGGGGCAATAGCAGCAGGTGCGACCTTGCAGCATTGTGTAATGAGCGCATGGTAGTAAACAAGCTTGTGCTCGGCGCTAGGGAGCTTGAACAGTTGCGAGAAGATGGCATCGATGATCATATCTTCTGACTTGTACTGAATCTTGTCGCCGACCAGTTCACGGAATTTGTCGAAAGGTGAGCCGCGCTTAGCGAAGATGTCGACGGACCAGTAGCAGTCAACATCCACGAGGAACTTGGCCACCATTTCACGGTTAAAGTCGAGCTGGTTGATGGTGTCAACAATGGCATCCCGAACAAGCGACGAGGCAATGTCGGTGGTCTTGGGGACGGTGTCGACTTCTTGATCAGCGAACAGGGAGAAGTACGCCTCCGGGAAGACAGGCCGTGGGCCAGGATTGACTGGTGACGGGATGGTGAAAGTCGGGAAGGCGTGAGTCTGAGGAGCCGTGGGGAGGGCGTCTTCTTCCTTGGCATCCGCCCTACGCAAAGCCTCGAGGTCGATGCGTGGAAGGCATCTCAGCTCGAAACCAGACTCGGCTTCGGCTGACAACTGTGCTTGAAGAAGGCCAATGACGCTGTGGTGGTCTACCGGCTTCGACTCGAAATCGCCGACATAGGAATGAATGAGGCTCTCGATAGGAACCGCATTGCTCGCCACGATGCCGGTGTTCTTCAGTAGTTGTTGCGCTTGTTCGTGGAAACGCTCTCCTCCAGCGACGATGGCGTAGGGAATGGTGAGTAGGATGATCTTGACGAGTTCGATACCGACAACCTAGCATTGTTAGTAAATATTCCCCTTCACTGCAGGGAGATCTTACATCGTTCTCGTTGGCACTCTGAAGGTCAACGACTGTGTCGAAGAGTTGTCCAAGGAAAGTGAAGACACCATCATCCTCGTAGAGCGACTGCAGGCACGCGAAGAACCTCAGAAGCAACTTGAACTCTTTCCATTCGCCCGCATTCAGCGCCTCCTGTGCCCGGTCTCCGACGCGCTTCATGGCCTCGATGGTGATTTGTGGCTTGACATCGTTGGCGTAGTAAGCGACGGCTGCGACGAACGGGATCTTGAAGGGTTGCTCGATGATCCTAAGACAGTTAGTGAAAGTTGAATTGATGGGGGTATTGTCTCTACTTACAATTGTACCAAGACATCGAAGAAGTCGGATCGGAGACGCTCATCGTCAAAGTGCTCTCCAAAGTACTTTGCGATCTCGATAGCCTCGTCCTGTGGGAGCTTGGTGGAGCTGGCAATGTTCAAGAGCAGTCTGCGCAGCTTGGGGAACGGCGGCTCTTCGTATCGGCGACGTGGACCTCCATCATCGTTACGGCGGCGCTGGGGTCCGCGACGGTCATCACCACGGTAATGGTTGTCGTCATCTGCGCGACGCTGTTAGTACAGTGGAAATGCCAGAAACACAAGCCAGTCTATGGGGTAGGGAGCATAGTCTCGGCCTTGATTTGATGCCCATTACAGCCATCGAATCAGAGAAGCTATCCAGCCCACCCGTGCAGCTTGCGCAATCGTTTGTAATAGGACCTGTGCAGACTCACCATCACGGCGGCGCTTGTTGTTTCCTCGATAGTTTCCACGATCGCGCCTGTCATCACGTCGGTCCTCGCGCCTATCATCGCGCTCTTCTCTGACGTCTGCATCCGCCATGGTTGCGACCAAGACTGCGCGTGCCTTCTCTTCTAACGTCTCCGGAGAATCTTCCCTCAAGTGCGACGGGATTCGTGTAGAGTTGGCGCCGAGGTCGTCGTGATCGTAATATACGGGCTGCCGTGGGGGATAGAAGTCGCCGTGTCGATGATTATACACACGGTCGCGGAATGGGGTGGTTCGGGTGCGATGTTGGCGGATGGTTCGCGATAGTGAATCGTCGAGTTGGCGCGGAAGTCGCACTGGAGCTTGCGCATCGAAAGGGTTAGCGGCATTTGCTCCCGTTCCAGGCGTATCTTGGCGCTCGGTCCATGCTCTCTCGACGTCAACGTCCATTGCCAAATCATTGAACGGTGAACTGTCCCGAAAGAGATGTTGCTGCGCTTCCTCATCGGTTAACTTGAGTAGGGCCATGCGATCTGCTGACATGAATGTGCAATCCATATCTAGGTTATTGATATTGCTGCTTTTACCGTGACGTTGTTAACTGTTGGTTTGCACCTGACTACCTCTTCGATCAAATGATTTGGTCTGTTAAGAGAATAGATGTAGACGACAAGATAGAGGCTTTATATACAGCTCCATCACGCATACTGAAGCTAGCAAGGTGAGGCTGTCAGTAAAGGTAGGCCATGTTCACTTGAAAACCCTATGGTTATCTCCAGGTGAAGGCAAATGGTGATTAGTATGGATCCAGATCGAACATCCTGACGTCCCAAACGAAGGTTCAAATGCACTGGTAAAAGTGTGGCTATTGCGAATCCTGCAAAGAACCCGGAAAATCTCTTAGATCTCATCACGACGTTTCACAAGACCCAGAACATGTAAAATGTGAAAGGAATCTCCGTTATAGAAAGTATGCTGAGAGGTGGGCGAATAGCAGGATAGTCATTGTCCATTGGACATTCGTTCCGCTGCAAATGCGCAGTGCCTCGCTCTAGTACTTGTCCGAAGCTAGCCATCCATTGACCAGCCCGTATGATCCCATCCTAGGGATAGCATTCCCAAGTTCATAAAAGCCTCATCGCCCGATGCGCAGCCCGCCGAACTCATCTTAACAGAAAGAAAACTCCCGCATGCAACCCAGGTGACGCATAGTAACCGTTGTTGA